TCTATTTACTGATCCTATCAGTTTGACCTTGGGTTGCGTAGCCAAGATCAGGTCAAGGTTACATTGATTTTCTGAAATGAAACACCCTATTTTTTATTAAAAAATCTAATAGCTGATGTTGAGAGCTTTCCAAAACGCTATAATGAAATATTTTTTTATGAAGTCCTTTTCAAGTTATAATACTTCAAAGTTACAGTATCGCCGGCCTTAGCATTACCCAAAATATTTAATTTTGGAGACTGGCCAGTCAAGGCAAGATCGGTCGGTGGTCCGTGAATCTTGACCTTCAGTTAACGCACAAACAAAAACATAATGCGTAGTATTACATATCTTGGGTAATGCTAGTGCCGGCGATACTGTAACTTTGAAGCATTATAACTTGAAAAGTACTTCATTAAAAAATATTTCATTATAGTGTTTTGGAAAGCTCTCGACATAAGCTATTAGATTCTTGAATCAAAAATAGGGTGTTCCATTTAAGAAAATCAATGTAACCTTGACCTGACCTTGGCTACGCAACCTAAGGTCAAACTGATAGGATCAGTAAATAGATATTTTTAAACCATATAACTTTTGTCTGAAACACTTTTCTGTAAAACTTATATTTCCCGAGATATTTAGGTGTCCCGACCTTTTTGGGACACCCTGTATATATAGCTTTTGTACGACGTGTAAAACGAAAGAGATAGATATGAGTAAGAGAGGCATCTATTATATTCATATGCATCTCAAGAAAATAATGGAACGATAATTATTGAGTCAAATACCTACACGAAAGTGGGAAATTTGCAATAAATTACATTCTAAACGTGGCAGAATTACGTTCGCGCTTCTTACAAGACATAGCTAAATGCGATACATTTAGGGGCGTTTTTACAAATCAAATTACTGCGCAACACCGGCGTATAATTCGACACGTGCATATGCATCGTAACGTGACGCTTCCACCACGGAGGCAATTACGTTTCGCTCGCTTCCGAAAATTCGGCACGCCGGAGTAATCCCTGAAATTACGTGCCGCGAAATAGTGGCGACGTTGCCTTCGTTAGAAATAATCCGCCGTGTCGGAGGCAGAAGCCTGGCACGATCTAACGGACCCGAATTGTCAATTCCAGCCATACGCTACCTCTACATTCGACATTATACACAGCATTGTATACACTGTATACACTGAGACTATGTTTGTCTAATGTGATGGCTACTGGTCGATGAAATTGTTGGAGTAAGGTAGCGTATATTTTATACACATTTGGTTGCACTTCACCTTTTTATTTGTTTTATCGGAAATTGCGTTTTATTCCATAAATATAGACAGCTCATTTCCTGATCTTTATAGTATAATATCTGTGTTGCATTACACGGAAAAAAGTATTACTGAAGTACTTAACAATTTAACTAAATATAGATGTGAGAGTAATTTTGTTAGACCATCAAAATAATTAAGTAGAACGCTTAAACGTTGATAAGAATACTGCAAAAAAATTGTAATATATTAATAACTAGTGTCAGCGTCTTACATAATTATTTTAATGGTCCAAACAAAATTATTTTCAGATCTGTAGCTAATTAAATTTTTAGACATTTCAGCAAAACTGTTCTCTCCGTGTAGAAAGAACTGAATCATACATCAACATCTCTTTTCAACTCGATATTTGAGAGAGAGAGAGAGAGAGAGAGATCGCTATTTATTATGCGCTCCAAGATTGAATCCTCTAAAGCCCCAAAACCAGACATGCAAATATTATATACATAAAAAACTATAAATTAAATGGTAATAATTAAGTACGATAAAAGAAAGAGCAAGAAAATGTAAAAAAAATAAAATTAGAGGGAGAGATGAATCAAGTTACCTCACTTTTTCTAAATCGATAATAACAACTTTATAGAAATGCGCAGCTCATATTTATTACATCTATGTTTTATTCAAAAACACAATTTTTAATAAATGTAGTAAAGCCATTTTTGATAAATTTGTTGCGTGTACAAGTTCAAGTATAAATGGCAACTTTGTATAATATTAAATACGGATGCAAATATTAAATGCAAAACATATCTGAGTTTGCAAAATTAACACGACAAGAACCATCTTCCCATAATAACGACGATAGAAAATAACCAGTGTGTCCGCACATACGTGTATCTTTACTCCTAACGATGTGCGTACACACAGCGGTGCACAGCAGTACGCGCGTATAATGGAGGGCTCTGGGAAACGAATGATACTGCGGGACGGTAAAAGAAACGACAGCAGGAATAAATTGAAAGGACGGGATACATATAGAAATGCAAGGTACAAGCGAAGACCGAAGGTGGAGAGAGCAGCGCCGAGAAAGAGAGAGACCATTGAGAGGCGAGGAGAGTGGATTGTTATATGTGGGATAGCAAATATATGAGGAGGCAGTAAGGAGTAAGGGAGGCAAAGGGGAAATAACTCCCTGGAGCAGGTGCGACAAAACCGGTCGCGTCTCCACGCGCCAAGCCGTATTTACTCGCCATCAGATAGGCAGTAACCTTTCCACCTACCAGGCATTCAGGTTTCATCGAACATATATAGGTATTTTCTTGCGAAGGTAGAGCGACAGAAAAGAAATCCCTGTTGAGCGTCAGGCGTATCGTCAGGCGAATAAAGTGTCGCCGCAAGGGAATGTCGCTAACTATGGCGTTATAGAAAATTCGCGCGGTGCATTACCGCGCGAGGAGAAAAATGAATATCTCGTCTTGCTCCATTTTGCTTTTGGGTTACTAATCACCGATTTTGACGACGTCGGTTAATTTTAATCGCAGTTTAACCGTCCCTCGTAATTAAACGAGGATTAAAGTTAATTGATGCTGATGAAGCCGGCCATGAAGAGGACCGGTAAAGTAGTATCTCGCTGGAGAGTAACTCTACTTGTGTGATCATCTTATTTCGAAATTAACCTATTTTGCGAAAGATCCTGTACGAATATAAGTCGTGTCTGTCGCCGAGGTCAAAGGCAAACTTAACAAGATCCAGACGTAACTTTGTTGCATAATGAAGAGGGAATCAGATAAAAACAAAACGGGGCTCCTTTTTCTACCGCGAACAAAAGAGTCTGTCGCGAAGAAACGGGGCCGACGTATCTACGATTGTTTCGAGGATCTTCAGCGATTTGGGCCAACTGAATGGAACCGTGCTACTTTCGTGCATCGATCGATACCGGCGACGGTGTTTCTTCCGTCCAGAAACCGCGTTGGTAGCTAAGAAGCGTATAAAGATCCGGGCATTAGAGGATGGCCAAACTGGTTGGCTGGCTGTCTGGCCGAATGAATCCAGATCCGCGGGATAAAACGAGAAAGCGAGGCTCTGGCTCCTCGCTTCTTCCGGATTCTCGTCGTCTCCGCGGTCACGCGTTCGCGGAATCGCGCCATCACTTTCCTTTTTCTCTTTTTCTTTCCGTTTGCTTCCTTTTTTCTCTATTTTCTGTGCCCCTCTCTATATCCCTGTATATATATATATATCCGTTCCTCCTCTTTTTCCTTTGGGACTTCAACGTTACTCTGACCGGACTTCTTTCTAGGCAACGTTTCCAAGACAATCGGAGGACCACAGATAATCGTACGAGCCAATCAGTCCCGCATTGAGTTTCGGAACTCTTCTCTTTATGTCGAGCCTTCAGGGAGGGAGAGAGGAACATGTGAAAAGGAAAAGCGAGATAGACGGGGAACAAAGTAAAGAAGCTCCGACGGGATCCTTTCGACGACGGACCAAAAGCAGCTTTTCCGAGTCACTCTTGGCGTTTCACGGAGAAGAGAGGATTACGGAAAGGTTGCAGAGATGAAGAATGAGATACGAGAATTAATAAGAAGACAATCGAGATCGTGTGTTACCGTAAATATAACGACGGATGAAAAGTCGCAGTTTTTCGTTTGCAATTTCGCACAACGGCGACCAGAAGGAGGTCGGCCGCATTAGCTCGACGGAGACTTATCGAGGTCGGGGATTCGAGTTGTAACGCTCCTTTATGACATATTTTTCACTGTAATCATGCGATCTGCGTGCGATCTACATACGGCGATACTGCGCTCGTGAGAAACCCATTAGTTGCGCCGCGACATTCACCACGGGCTGAGAAAACGCGGACGCAATCTGTAATCTATAGATTATATGTGATTCAAATGAAATTACTCTAATCCGCAACGTAACGGGAATTGCCATCGGAGTCGCCCCTCCTCTATAGAGCGCGCTCTGATTGCCTATTAAGGTGCGTTCGGGGAGACGCTATTAGCGCTATTTGTATCATTCTCGTTCTCTTTCCAATCTTTTGGAGTGAAAATTGAGCCAATCTTGAAAAAAAGAATGAAAAAAACTCTTCAACAAGAGTGGCAAATTTTTCACTCTTTTTTTTTTTGTAGTAATACTTCACTCTTTTGGAGTGAGATTCACTCCAAAGGAATGAAATCTCACTCCTTTTTTTGGAATGAGATTTCATTTATTTCTTAGAGTGACTTTCATTTCAATATAGTGAAATCTTATTCCACAAAAAATGAAATCTCACCCCTAAAGAGTGAAAATCTATTACCCTTGTTCAAGAGTAAAACTATTTTCACTTTTTTTTCAATTGTCAGTCTCAGATTTAGAGAATTATTTTACGTCTAATAAACGTAGAAGACAAAATGACGGAAATAGCGCTAATAGCATACGTCCTCCTGAACGCACTCCTAAAACCAAATCTACATGAAAGTTGAAGTTTATCCAACTTTAATGCGCCCAGCATTCTACTTCCAGAACCTATACAATCTGAAATACGTTAAGTTCAGATTCTAATTTTACGACCTGCGATTTGCGTTCTGCGTGCTATGTATAGATCCGGCTTAAGGATGCAAGGCGCAGAACGCAGGACACATTGAAATTAGATGAACTTTCGTGTCCTGCGTCCTGCAACTGAAAATACATCACACAGGTCACGCTGCGGTCTAATCTTGCGACTTGTGACCACCGTTCTATACATATAGATCCAGCTTTAGGGATGCATTTGAAGAGACGCTATTAGCGCTATTTGTGTTATTCTATTCTCATCGTTTATTAGACATAAACAAAGATAGAATGACACAAATAGCGCTAATATATAACGTCTGCCCGAATGCATCTTAATAGAAGCAATCAGGGCAATCTTCAGCGATTTTATTCAAATCTGTGTTTACCATAGCTAGTGGTGTAACTGGATGGGGATGCGTTCGGGGCAATCAACGATCACAATTATCTGCTATTGAGACTGCACACTGAGGAGAAACATCAATTTATATATATAGCTTTAATTTAGGAAAATCAACTGAAGACATTTCAGAACGCACTTCTTCTTCGGCAATCAGAAGAGATAATCTGTCAGGTAATGATAGGGCTGCCCTTAGACGCGAGTCTATCTATGTCCCTCCTTTCCCGCGCTATCATTTGAGAAAAAAAAAGATTTCTCTCCAGTAAAGCGACTTTATCGCTCGAACGGCCGCGCGCGTTGGAATTCAGGAGCTCCCAAATAACTCCGACCGAGAGATTATGATCAAAGAGGTTCTCCCTCTCCCCGCAAGAGATCGTTTAAAGAACTTTCGAGCTGAGAAAGGAAGGAAAGGGGGTGTGGGTGTGTGTGTGAGAGAGAGAGAGAGAGGAGTTTTACGGGAATTACGACTTAGCGCGCTTTGTAAGTAAGTAACAGCTCTTCGGTCGACGAGGGGTGGAGTCGCGGAAATGTAATTTGCCACGAATGTTCGCGTAAGGACGGGTTCCGCGCAGCTGCTTCCGACGAATTCGCGCGTACGATATCGCCTTACTTACGCGCGCGCGAGACGAGACGAGCGGGAGCGGGACCGGAGAACGGCAAATGCAGAGCAATAATGACATCACGTGCACGAGGCAGGTTCATAGGTCGGGGGTTTCTTAGGTTCTGTCTTTCGCCGCTATTGCCACGCTTTTTGTCGGGGATACTTGCAGTGGGGCTGCGCCACGCCCATATCGCATGTTCCCATCGTTTCTATCCTCCGCGAATCTCGCGCGGTACATATCTTTTTTGTTAAAGAGGTTCTCCCTTATTAATTTTCCACGTATGTATACATATATATACGTATATACATATACCTACAGCAAAAAAGAAATCGTCCTTGCAGTAGAACTTAGCTTTTGATAAAAGCCACCATCGTAAGCGTATTTTTATTTGCGTTATATGGATATTCTCTTAATATATTGCACCAGTATTCTAAATACAAGTCAGACCGAAATTATGGTTGCAGTATTAAGGAAAGAATTTGAAGCTCTATGGTGAGCGCCTATCATAAAAGCATAATACTACTAGACATTTACAAGGATCGATTCATTTAATCGAAAAGCCTCGTTACTTGGCGAACAGCCAAATAGAAAAGCCATGAAATGTACGTAACCCGGACATGCTTCCCGCGGGAGGGGAAGCGAGTCTTTAATAATTCATCAAGATTCCTATGTAAAATTAGCGCTGTTAGTATTGAATAAATTTCATCGGTCGTGCTGCGGCATTGTAACGTCGCCATCGTTCTCCGCATTATTCTAATTAGCTATAGAATACATACTCGGTACGTGCATAACGTAGCATAAATAATTGAAAACGCCGCGGATAGTAGAGGTGTTTTATGCAGATATGGCGTGGGATGCATCTCTCTCTCGGACGATTATTTTCGACGATTAACGTAGATGTCGCGTGTAATATTTAATATCAGTAATCGTCGAAAATCGTCGTTTGGATCCCGAAGAATGTAGACTCTCGCGTACGAGTATCGGGATTGTACAAATAAATAAAACGATTATTATTTGACCATTTCCTTTGGGATCCTCGCGCGCTCGCACTTGTTATCAAACCCTTCCTCCAAACAACGAGAGCTGTATTACGCGCGACAGATCGCTTATTGTGCATGCAAATCTCCGAGCGCTTCGTTCACCGGGAGCATATTATAGACAGGCAAATAAATACGGCGTGTGATCCGCTGGATAATCAATAGTCGAAGCGGAAACATCGCATGATGAGAGGAGAACTAGTCAACGCATGCGGTATCCGTGCGGTATCTGTGTCGCTCGTGTTTCGTGATCTGCAAAATGTGTACGACAAACATATATATAAACATATATATATATATATATATACATTGTCAATATACTAAGTATATTGACTCGGCGAAATTCTCAGAGGAGGCATCGATGATTGAAACATTTAAAAATTTCACACTAGTAATAACATCACGAATAACATTATCAAATGTTCAATATTTGACTCATTCTTAAAACGAGAATTGATGCAATGTGTGTGCGTAGAAACGATATTTTTATATATGTAAAACGTACTCATCTGTCTTGTCTCATCTGTCTGTCTCATCTTTATCCTAACTGTTAAGATATTCACAAGAAGATGTACTAATGTAACGTCACATAGTTTCTCGATGAATGTCATAAATATTTATTTAAAATAGAACTTTACAATATAATTTAATCCTTTTTATTCAGTAACTACAAAAATATATTTGTTTGTATTTTCGTTCATTTTATAATAAATAAGCGATTCATGAAAACATTTTGATGTTTTAAAAACGTATAACATTTTATATCCCTCTGTGTTATTTTTATTAATCCCTTACATTTTGCATTGCAAAATTATTGTAGTATAACGAAAATCTTTTTCTTTTTTTACCTTTAAGTAAATTCACTTAAAAGACTATAAGAAACTAATATGCTATATATGTGTATATATATATTATTTATTTATGTATTAGTACCTTATGTAGTGATAAAATAGTTTCACTATATTACAATTCCATGTGTTGTACTTCGAGAGAAAATACGTAAAAATTATTGATGGACTAAAAACAAGCCAGCAAAATAATTTAATAATTCAACTTAAATATTTTCAGATTTCGCATCCAAATGTTTATACATATATTTTAGCAAAATTTTTTTTCCCGTGTAGAGAGGAAAAGAGCATTTTATTTGTAAAAGTTGAATCATTAACATTTATTTATTTATTTTTTTTTTACTGACGAGTCCTATCATCAGGAAAGAGCCATGGCGGAATAGCGCATTAGTCACAACTCGCTGGAGCTCGCGGAAAATTTTCGCCGGAAGGTTCTCCATCCGCGTACTAACAGAAAGTTTGACCGGCCAGCCAGCTAGCCAGCTAGCTAGCCAGCCAGCCAGCCGGCTATGGAGTCGTTCGTTAGCCAGGACTTTGAAATACCGCGGTTTCCTGTTTTTCTCGTGCTACACATATCGCCTAGCCGCGCCGACTTATTTCGCGCCGGCGTGCTCGACCGAACGTTGTACACCGCACCATTGTGGAAATAGTTCCCGCGATGTTTCTCGTGCTCTTCTCACTTCCCATTTTTATTCTTCTTCCTCCGTTTTTTCTTTTTTTTTTTTACTTTTTTTCTGTTCACTTTTCCCTCCCTCTCGGTTTTTACCTCTCGCTTTTCAAGGCCGGATATCCTTCTCTTACGGCCGAGTCATCCTCGGCCACGGAGCTCGCTCTCTCGCTCGCTTTCCATCGTCGCGCCCGCCGTTGGCTTTTCCTTTCTTTTCCGGCGTTGCGGTCGAAGCCACACCACGGTGCCGCCATTTACGCGAACATCCTCGATAATAAATCCCGTCGAGTGATTTACGAAGTATCCCCCTTCAACCACCCCGTGAGCGAGCACCCACGGACCGCCTTCCGGGCGTAACCCCCGTGCAGTTTGAAAATTAATAACGCTGACGGCGATAGGCGCTGTAACGCGGCTTTTATAGCCCTGCGATTGCGGAATTAAATATCGCGACAAAGACGACCGTCAGCAGCGCGATGGTATAATCGTCGATTATT